AAAGTTATCAGATGTAACAAACTGTGTCAAAATACATAAATAATAAAACTGGGCCCACCTTGGACCCAAGCTGAGACATGAAGGGATGAATTATCCTTTTTAGGCACTTTTTATCCCAAACAATGCATCAACTTTAGTTTGGGATAAACTTGAGCTTGAGCTTCCCCTAGAGCTGAAAGGATGGCAATACACTAATAATGGACTAATGGAAAACATGAACTTATAGTGCCATCTAGTGTTGAAACATAGCATGACCACTGATTCAGAGAACATCTCAGAATTCCAGGAATGACAAGAACAAAAAAAAGACAGATTACCAAGTCCAGAATACCTAATACTTGAAAGTGCAGATGCCATTGCATGACAACAAGCCTCAAAAGCTTTCAGAGAACCGTGTCCTCACCTAAGGGATAAAATAAGGTGTCAGAAAATGACCTATCTACTCATGAACTCTCAAACAGAATTTTGACAAACTCAAAGGCAATTTAAAAAAAATTGAGAAACAATTCAGTGTTTTATTGGAAAAACTTGAGATGTTTAAGTAGATCATAAAAAAACCAACCAAAATCCTTGAGCTGAAAAGTTTGCTAAATGAGATTAAAAATGTGATAACAGCAAAAATAGATGAAAAAGAACAAAGAATCAGTAGAGTTAGAAGACAGACTATTTGAAAATACACAGGGGAGGAAAAAGAAAACACACTGAAAAGAAGAAGGTCTATAAGAACTTTGCAATGGCATGAAAGAAGCAAATATTGGAGCTATTGGATTCAAGAAGGACTTGGGAATAAAACAAACATCTGTTAAATTTACAAAAATGGTTACGTTCCAAAAGTTCATACTGAATCAGTTACTGAAAATGAGCAAATTTCCCCCCGCCATAGGTTCATCTTATAAAGGAATGACAAAGCTTATTTAACCAATGATTTACATGGAAACAAGTAGAAAACAATAATTCTATTACAGTCATTAAAAGAATATAAAATAAGCAGATATAAACTTACAGTTATTATGAAGTATAATTATATATGCAAACATGTAGACACTTTCAATTATTTTACAGAAGTTGAAGGTGTAGTTCTGTAGTATATCTTTTTTCAAAAGCTAAAGTAAAAGACATGAACATTTGAAAGAGCTTACCCAAAGTTGAAATCTGATGACTTGTGAGCAAGAATGAGATGGAAAAGAAGAGAGCATGATGACAGGAGTGAGTGTGGAACCTACCTTCTAGTTTTCAAGTAGGTTCAAAGTTGTCAGGAGTTCATGGTGAATACTAGTTACTCACATAACAAAAGGGCTGAGCTGAAATCAACTTCCTCTTTGCTTTTAATAATTATTCAAGTCACAACATTGTTTTTTTTCAGTTTTCTAGAAATTTTTCATGGGTGTTCATATGTGTACTATTATTTGGCCATTTATCTATTTTACTTACCAAAGAAAAATAAATCAAGAATTTATTTAAAGCTAACCATAAAATGTCTCCTAATAATTTTGCTTTCAGTTTTTATAAATCAGCCTAAGAACAGAGATGGAAACTTTTAAGATCATCCATCTCTAGTTAGGTCATGAAGGGTTAGAACAATACCAACTTTTTACTCTCCCCAGTATATAAGAGCTGGTACCCTAGGAATCCAAAATATTCCAAAGAAAATGATGAACAAACACTGTAAAAAAAAAGTGACTCCAAAAGAGGTAAAGGTTTTCAGATGTACTCACTCAAAGCTTCCTCATTTCCCTATTACTTGAGGAATACAAGATTATCACTTTTCAGTAACAGATTAAACTTGCTATATTTTATGTATTTGTTGAAAGATAAGCATTTTTCAACTTTTATTTACTTATTTGACAATATTTTAAGAGGTAAAGGTTAAGAAAAACTCGTGAGTTTTAAACTCATGCTTCTATCTGTCCACTGAACACCTTTGCGTCAGATGTCTCTAACATGTCTCACATTAAATTTATTACTGTCTTGCTCAAACCACCTCCTTCATACTCTTCTGTTCCTGGCACTAGTGTTCTAATAGTTGTTGATTTTATGATGTCTTTTTCCATCATTCCTACATCTAAACATTACCTACGGCATTCTCCCTGCCATCTCTCTCTCTTCTGCCCTTTCCTTTTACTTCACACTTGACAATACTACCTCTGCTCTAATTGAGGTGGTTTTTTTTTTTTTTTTTGCTTCTTGTCTTGTTTACTACAGCATGTTATTGATCTCATTTTCAGACTCTAGTTCTAGTCCACCCCACAGAATGTCAGACTAATTTTCTAGACTCAGTTCTGATTAAAACCCACCTGCAATGATGCCCACCATCAGCTATAGTAAGTATAACTTTTCAGCGATGCTTGAAACTTTATATAATCTCACATGATGATGAGCATAAACCCATTTCAAGTCTATCTCTCACTTTTTACTGTCATATTCTATGCTAAAGTTGAAATGGCAACTTAAGTCATACTGACTAAGTCATATTGACTTAGTTTTAATTATTCCTTAGGTAATGTTGATTGATTTATTTGAAATATTTTCTAAAGTCTCTCATTATTTTGTAAATATCACCCTATTAAAACGACTAATTTTTTGGTATACATTTCAGATGGCACCTTATATGGCACACCCATACATGAATTTTCTTCCATTTGAATTCCAGTTATCTACAGGTTGAAAAACATTTATGGTTTAGCACTGTATTTGCCATGGTAGGTTATCAACATTTTACTAAATTAAATTGAATGTGCACACAGGAAAGTACAAATAAAGCTACCTTATTTATCAACTGAGGTTTAATATCTTATCAGAAGGGTATTTGTACTCATAGAAAGATGAATGAGCATGGGCTTATAAATTATGGTGGAATGTGATGATCATTATTATCCAAAATATATGTATGAAGACATGAATTGGTGTGAATATACTTTGTATACAACCAGAGATATGAAAAACTGTGTTCTATATGTATGATAAGAATTGTAATGCATTCCTCTGTCATATATATAAAAAGATTAATGAGCAACATTTATAGAATGCCTGCTTCAATATCAAATAATGATAATGATAATGATGTGGATAAGAAAAATGACAATAGCATCTAACATTTATTAGGAAATAGTAAGTCAGGTCATAAGCGCTCTGCATGCAATAGCTCATTTAAACTAAAGAACTCTTAAGTTTTATATAATTATTATCCCTATTTTAGGAATGAAAAACCAAGTCACAAATAGTTTGGCTAACTTGCCCAAGGTCATATGGTTAGAAGTAATTAGTTACAATTCTAATATGAGTATGACTCCGGAAATTGAGCTCTAAAAGAAAGAATATTGGACATTATATCTTATATCCCCAAATTTACTACCTGTTTAACAAATTATGAAATGAGTATCATGTGAGTAATTACCCAAAAATCTTTCTTAAATCATTTGTTTTATATGTTATAAATCAAATGTTTCATAAAAGTAGAAGACTAGATATTGAATAAACTATAATAGAGTATGAATTCTTTCAGGATAATGACTATAACTTATTCATTTGCATAGACTGTGAATCTGATCTAATATTTGGTACATAGTTATGTCAGTGTTATAGTCTGGGTGTGAGGTGTCCCCGAAAAGCTCATGTGTGAGACAATACAAAAAAGTTTAGAGGAGAAATGACTGGGTTACTAGAGCCTTAATCCAATCAGTGAAATGATCCCATGATGTAACTGAGTGGACACTAAAGGTAGGGTGTGGCTGGATGAGGTGGATCATTGAGGGCATGCCTTTGAGATATACATTTCGTATCTGGTGAGTGGAGTCTCTCTTTCTCTGCTGTCTGATCATCACATGAGCTGCTTCCCTCTGCCATGATGTTCTGTTTTACCTCAAGGCCTGAGGAATAGAGCCAGTTGTTGGGCTAAGACCTCAAATAAACTTTTCCTCTTCTACAATTGTTAGAGTCAGATCTTGTAGTCACAACAGCAAAAAAAGCTGACTAAATGGTCAGATTTATGATAAATTGTCATATAAATTCAATTCAAGGCAAATCAAATTTACTTTTAAAATTCCTTTCCCCAAATAACTATATTGCCTTGACTCCCTCAGAGGCAATTTTTGAAAGTATTCCTCAACAGATTATGTTCCAAAATGTATAACATTCTTTACAATGCTTGAATATATGGAGAACACATGGGTGAAATGTTGAATATATTGAATATATGGATGAAATGATAAAAGACAAGTTAGAATTATTTGCTTTCTAGTTAAGAAAGACAATGGCATTTGCAGGAAGAGGAAAAAGCAAATGGACAGCCACTTAGGTATAGCAAAGTTTGTCTGGGAACTCTTAAGTGTCTCCGTATGACCATAATATAAAGGCAGAGAGTAGCAGAAGCCTCTGAAGACGGCTATAGATAGACTGTAAAAGTGTTTTAATGCTCTGCTAAGGCTAACCTTATGTTAAGAGCACCAAAGCATAAGTCTTGAACCCATCCTTATTCAAGATATCTTGTTAGTAGCTAAAACAGAAAACTTAAGTACTTAAGTTAAATATTCAAAATAAATGAATCCTCCAATACAACATTTTTCTAATTCACACTATACAAAAATACCCCTTTTAACTTAATGACAAAGAATTTCTGTAAATGTGTACGTTTGAAAGTAGTATCTGAAAAATATAGCAGAAAATATGAATTTAATTGATATCTGCTTTTTAAGACATCCTGAAGAGAAAAATCTATTTTCCTTTTTGTTTCCCTGGTAGCACTAATAATACACTTTCATTTTGGTTCAATATGGGCTAATGAAACAAAAAGAGTCAAAAGTTCCTATTTCATTTAATTCCACAATATCACAGAAATTCTGGCACAGATAATTTTTCATTTATTCTGCTTATTGTTTTATTCAGTTTCTAATCAAAGAACATATACAGAAATCTTTCTGTTCAGAGGCTTTTCTACATAGAACTCAATTTTCCAATTATGTTGGGAATCCTAAGAAGTAGTCATTAATTCTTAAAAAGCATACCTAGGAGTGCAGTGAGTTTTGGAAGAAGTCCAACTTGTACCATCTTATTCCTCAGTCCTGTGTCAAAGGACAGGTTTAGTAAAAGCCGGAGGGTGATATTCAGGAGATCTTCATGTTCACAAGGTATCATTTTTACAAGTTTTTCAACAATATCCATTTCCACCTGAGTAAAATAATATGCAGTGAGGGTCTATTGTAAAATAGGATGAAAAAGATTACAAATAATTATTTTGGGGTTTAACCTAATATATCTCTATTTAAAAAATAGGTATGTATTAATCTTATGTTTTCATTTCAATCTATAAACTTTCCTGATAGCAAACGTTTAAAGAGAAAATTTAGAGTCCTACATCATCCCTTCTTTCCCTCATTTGACTGTACTAATTGATGGATTGAAAACACTCTGCCTAACTGAACACTACCCACTATGTACCAGGCCCTGTACCAGATCAAACAAGACCTCATCTTGGCCTTCAAGGATTCCTTGATCTAAAGAGTAGGTAAATAGAACAAACAATGAAGATGCAGTGTGATAAAAACTGAATGCACAAAGTGCTCCAGAAGCAACATGGAAGAAGCTACTAGTCTACCTAGAAGAAAAAAAATTGGCTTCAAATTTGGAAGAAGTCTTAAAAAATGGGACAGAGTTTGTTCTCTGGTTGAGAAGAATGGCAATACAGGTTGAAAAAAAGCCAGTGGACAAACATTTAGTGTAAGAACTCAAGTGCTTTGGCATAATCACAGTTATGAAGCATGTATTGAGGACTGGCAGAAGCTTAAAAACAGATCTTGGATCATAGAGGCTTGCAATGCTCTGCTGGGGGGTTTCACACCATTCTGTAAGTAGCAAAAGTTCCTCATGATCTCAAACTAAAGGGATGACATGGTCAGACTATTTCCTAGGCAGGGGACACTCCTGAAATCCAAGTACCCCTCATCAGCCAGGGCCAGCCTTGCAAGTAGTCTTATTAGTAATAGAAGCCTCAGGATCCTTTTCTGCAGAGTCAGTAATACAGATGCAAAAACAAGTCTAGGACAAGGAGGACAAAAAGTTATTTTAATTTTTGTCATGTTTAATTTGAGGAGATATTCATTGGACATTTGGAAATCTTAAGAAACTCAGAAAAGAAGCATGGCTACAAGTAATACCTAAAATTTGGAATGGATCAGCAGACCACAGCTAATGGAATTCATCTGGCCTGCCATCTATTTTCACACAACCTGAGATTAAGAATGGTTTTGGTTTTTACATTTATTTTCCTTACTTATTTTTGGGGTACTGAGGATTGAACCCATAGCCTCATGCATGCAAGCTCTTTACACTGAGTTACACATCCAGCCTGTTAAATTTTTAAATAATAGAAAAAAAAATTGAGAACATTTCATGACACATGAAAATTATATAAAATTTAAATTTCCATAAATAAAGTTTTATTGGAACAGAGCCATGTTCATTAGTTTATAGACTGTTTATGGTTGCTTTCATGCTTAACAACAGAGTTGAGCAGCTATAGCAGAGACCTTTGGATCTGCAAATCCTAAAATATTGACCATGTAACTATTTAAAGGAATTTGCTGATCCTAGCTCTACAAGATTATGAAATTGTATCAAGAGATCTTGCATTAGAATGAAAAATTACAGAGGGCATTACCAACTATTTATTTGGTAATGGAAATCCTGAACTTAGATTTTTTTAAAGGTAATAATTCGAAAAACTTGGTTATAAAAACATCTTATGTCTTTTAACTACAAAGCAAGAGTAAAAAAGGAAAGATCCTATATAAGTTCAAATTTTTGTATCATAACAAAAGAATTTATGAATAATGTTGTTCTACTTTTCCTTTTATTAGAGATCTAAACATTTATTTATACTGTCCTTTCCATATCTTTATTCAATCTTTCACTTACCTTATAAAAATCACATTAGTGATTGAGCTTTTACTATACTTTTCCCCTTTCACTTCATGCCAAGGAATGAATACAAAATTTTTAAAAACTGCTAAATTGACAACTAACATCTGACTTTTCCTTCATACTTCTATGTAAACCACACAGTAACCCTGTAGCCATATTTTTCATTAGAGTACAAACCAAACCAAAAAACTTTCAAAAACAAAAAATGAAACTAAAAGCTCTTTTAAAATGGAATGGAAAGGAAAAAAATATGGAATAGCCAGAATAATTTTGAACAAGAATAACATTGGAGGCTTCACATTGCCTGATTTCAAATATAAAGTTTCAGTAATAAAAAAAATTTTTTTAATGATAGACAGCAAAACATAACTAATTAAAAAGTTTTTTTCAAATATTTCTTTTAGTTGTACATGTATGCAATACCTTTATTTATTTATTTTTTTAATTTGTATGTGGTGCTAAGGATTGAACCCAGTGCCTCACATGCGCAAGGGGAATACTCTACCACTGAGCTACAATCCTAGCCCCCATTAAAAAGTTTTTTAAAATGCTGAATTTCACCAATATTAAACACTCACAGGAGAATGAAAAGACATGCCACAAGAAAGGCTTGTAAGACATGTAACTGAAAAAAGACTTATGTCCAAAATATAGAAAAAATTCCCAAAAGTTTTTAGAAAATAAGAACATAAGGAACTAAGCAGCATATATACACTCTTGTTGTTCCTTTTAAGATCATATTCTAATATGATTTATTATCTTTGTTATATTACACTAATAATAAACTATAAAAACACAATTATATTAATATTACATAAGAAATATGATAATTCTGATATGTCAAGATTATTGTACTGTCATGTGTAATTAATTAAAACAAATTTAAAAAAAGAATGACATACAGATAAGAGAGATGCTTCAGAAAACACAAACCTGATATATAAATACACAGAGGTAAAAAAGAGCATGACTTGTTTGTGAGTTTGTGTTACTGAGAAAATAAGTTCTTGGGGAGCAATAAAATAATGAGCGAGAGAATTTGTAAAGTTCCATGTGATGAAAGACCTTGTAAACTTTGTTTAATAATTTTCATCTTAATCTAGAGGCTATAGGGAGCTAGAAAGGAATTTCAACAAGAAAACTGCAAGAATTTTAAGGAGATCTCTGTATCATTAGGATTTAGCAGTAGGAATGCAACTGGAGAAACTAGTTATAATGTTACCACAGCAATATAAACATTCTAACTTAAGAAAGTACTAGTGTGTGCGTTATTTTGGAATTTACATTGTAGTTAAGAGGTAGAATGGATAGAACTTCGAAATTAATTGAATATAAGTACTGATGTATCAGAATCAAGAAAGATTCATATTTCTGATTTATGGGTCTGAAAGACATGGCAGAAAAAAGAGAAATATGATAATTCAATTGAAACCACTAGTTGAAAGATTGTTTTAAATAAACCAAACTTATTTTAAAATATATTTCTAAAATTTAAGGTCAGTATTTGTTCACATCAGAAGAAAAAAGAACATTTCAATTAAATAAATAATATAACCTCACAAATAGATCAGCCATCCCTCATTCTTTTTTTAAATAAAATTGCCACCAGCTGTTACTAATTAGGCAATATTTTCTTTTGAAAAAGCAATAGCATATGTATGTACTGTATAACAAAACACAATAAAATATCCTGATGAGTTTCTTATTAATTTTCATTTCCACTGCATACTATGGGATGTAAAGCATGGGCTGTTGGTCAATAGATGGAAAAACTCTTATATTTAACACAGCCTACTAGACATGTCTTTTTTGGTTGATGAAAAAAAAACTCAACATGCAATACCCTTTCAATTCTATTCCTAAAAACTGCAATTTATAGTTAATTAACATTTTTATAAAATGTTCCATGCAAAGTGACAGTTTAGCAACAATCTATCAGCAAGTTGACTTCCGCCTTTAACATTCAAAAACTGCTTATTATTAATCTTGCTAAAAATGTCTTTGAAAACAATATAGAAGAAGACTTTAAAAAATTTGCCCAGGAGGCAAAAAAGAATATAAAACAGAGAATCTAGAAATTTGTTCCCTTAAGTAAATTAATTATTGCCTCTAATCTTCTGATAGTTCATCTGCAAAAACAGAGGCTAAAGTCACTAAATTTAGCCATGTGAGTATGGTGCAGTTGAGTGCTAAAAATCCTGTTTCCATAAGATGCCTTTTTTCCATAATAAAAATGAAATGTATACCATGCACAATAAAAATCTGGCTATCAAATATTTCTCCTGACTTTGGATGAATAATTAACTGTTTGAAACCTCAGTTTTTCCTCTTCAGTAAAAATAAAATAAAATAAGGTTTGATGAGATGATTTAAATCTTCCAACCTCACTAGAAAATAATTTTAATAATTATCTTGAGATTTTTTTTTGATAGAATGAGCTCAGAAGTGCAATACTTGGGCTGGGGATGTGGCTCAAGCGGTAGCGTGCTCGCCTGGCATGCGTGCAGCCCAGGTTCGATCCTCAGCACCACATACAAAGATGTTGTATCCGCTGAAAACTAAAAAATAAATATTAAAAAATTCTCTCTCTCTCTCTCTTTAAAAAAAATAAAGAAGTGCAATACTTTAATATAAATCTAATACACATAGCAGACACATGCTGATGGTAAAGAAATTTGAATTTTGAGAAACTACTAATCTAAATACTTAGATTAATCTACATTAATCTAAATACACAAATGAAATAATACATTTCAACTTACAGTGAAAGGAAGCAATTGCTAAGCCACAAAACCTAACTACTTAGGAGTATATTTATCAACATGTCATTATATTCTTCTCTGATATAAGGTCAGTGAAAACAAAAAACATGTTTTTGATTAATCTCTTTAGGTACACACATTCTCAAAACAATAGAAAGTATATAATTCATCACAAGAATTATATATTAATGATAAAACACATTCAATACATCAAGGTAAAATAAAATTTCATATATTCAACAGTTACAATTCAAGGCACTTATTGAATTTGATAAATCAGCTTCAGGCTTTCAATGAGCATGGCATGGCACTTAATATAACAAAAGCAATTTCCTAGTTCTTTTTGTTTTAAGAGAAGAAAAAAGAATAGGCAGAAATACTAAATATTTAGACGGATCATTTGAAGGAAAAATGACTTTTACCAGTCACATAATGACACATAATTCTAAAAATGATCCTCAATGGAGTTAAGGCCATTCCTAGTTTTCTACTCTAAGAAAGTAATCAGAAATATAGATAAGAAATGTATATACAAATATGTACAATGAAGTGTTATTTATGATGCCTAAAATTATAAACAATTTAAGTATCTAAAAACAATGTATGATGAATGTGTAATCTATTTTAATATAATAAGTGTCAACAATGACTTTTTAATGTTGTGGGAAAAAAGCAGGTAAGAATTTTTTTTTTCTATCATTAGGGCTGTGGATATATTTCAGATATAGACCTCTTGCCTGGCATGCATTAAGAAAGTGGGTTCAATCCCCAGCAACACAACCAAAAAAAAAAGAAAAAAAAATCTACCTTTATATATTTACACATTATGTATACAGAATTAGAAATAATACATGCTCAACTTGTATTTCATAAAGACAATTATATCAACACAATACAAAAAGGCAAATAGAAGCCTAATGTAATAATGCAAACAAGAAATGAAGAGGAATGAATTAAGAGGGTAGGAACTAATTCAATAGCACAGGGAACTATAAGGAAGGAATAGCTCCCAGAAATACTTAAGAAGCAAAATGAACAGGTTGTAGCTATAATTGTAATGGTGGATAACAAAGAAGAGATTATGCTAAACTGTAATTCCACATACTAATATCAGAAATGCAGAAGGCAAAATATTTAAGGGAAAATAAGATCAGATGAACCTGAAATACAACTTTAAGTTTAAACTACTTTCTACATATTATATTTAATATGATAAGATATATTCTTTATATTAGAAAATATTTTTAAACAGAAAGCTTTAATTATCTGGAATGTGAAGCCATTTCAGTGAGTTATTGCTATTGAAATATTTATTCAGAATTTCAGAATTACCTTAATAAGGGTAAAAATATTTATTTTTATTTATTTTTAAACTTTTTAAAAAATATTTTTTAAGTTGTTGATGAACCTTTATTTTATTCATTTACTTATATGTGGTGCTGAGAATCGAACCCAGTGCCTCACACATGCCAGGCAAATGCGCTACCACTGAGCCACAACCTCAGCCCACAAAAATGTTTATTTTTTAACCAAAATATCCTAACTTGAAATGGCTAACATAAACTATTTCAAGAAGGAGCTTTGTAAGTTACCATATCATTTTTATTCTCCATAAAAATGCTCAGTTTCTTTAAGAATGACACAACTAGAATAAGCAGCTCAAAATTGTCCCGATCAAGAGCCTTCACCAACATGTGAACTATATTCTTATTCCTCATCTTCAGTTCTGTTCGAGTATCCTCAGCAAGATTCAGAAGCAAATAAAGAGCAACTACAAAAGTAAAACAGATGAGAGTTAAATGCTTGGCATATTTAATCAACAATTAAAAATAGGTAATATAAAAATTATAACAGATTAGTAATTGGCTCACTAGAAAAAATGTATTATTATTGAATGAGGTATAAATCTTATATAAAATATATAGATAAGATAGATAAATAACAAAGTGACATTGATATCTATTTTCTTGGAGCTTAGAGTTTAATAGTAATGAAACAGCAATTAAAGGTATTTAAGTCAGCAGGTACTAAAACAAGACAGGAAAAATATTTTTATATACATAAAAAAAAAGGTAATACATCAAAACTTCAACAATTAAGGTCTGTTTGTATTTAAGAAATTAATCCAAAATAACATAACATAATGCTTGTTTGTACCACGTAGGGATATGAAAACCGGTTTTGCATATTCAAACTGGTTTTCTATTTGTCACCATAGGGAAAGGTACATGAAATTCAGTAATATGACTATTATCCTAGATAGAATTGAGGTCAATGTCTACTAGTTCTATGTAAAATTTCTTTTAGCTCCCATAATAAAAACGCTTAGGTTCTCAAAAGGAAACTGATGATTGTTTTCTTCTAATAGTGAAAATTACGTAACATAACATTTTTTCATTTTGCTTTGTTGACAGGGAGCTTCTGAGTTAAGATATAAAAGGTTCTGTCAGAATTATGTAAGTTATTCAGTAGTCTTTTTGCTCTCTTACAGTCTTGATGTTACTCATTATTTTAGTATTTCATTTAATTTGTAAACCACTTCAAATCTAAGTGAGGCTGGGGTCAGAATCAAATGAGAGAATTAGAAGAAAAAGCATATGATATTTACACCAGACTAGAAATAATGCTTGTTTGTACCAAGCATACTGAAAATCTCATAATTTATGGGGTAATAGAATCACTGGGAAAGTCTTGCCTCAATAGTGGAGAATAATTAATTTTAAACTAAAGCACGCTGCTTATGTCCAGACTAACAAAATTATTAGAACAAGGTCTAATTTTTTTCTAAGTAATTCAATTTATGTCCTAAAGAGATTGAAAATGTTTACAGGAATAAAAAAAATACAACACCCAACAACGTAGATTTCACACTAACAGCCAAAGATTACCATTTATTCAAAGAAGCAGGAAAATACAACCTATAAGTATTTTTAAAAAGCCATGGAAACTGTCCTAGAATTGACAAAAACATCAGGATTATTAAATGGGAACACTCAAAGTTAAATAATTGTATTCTGGATCTTCTAAAAGTTAGGTAAAGATGTGGGAGATATAAAAAAAATTCAAACTTTCTAGCAGTGAAAACTATAATGCTTGAGATTATAAACTAGATGCCATTAACCTGTAATTTAGAGCTGGAAAAAAAGATCAATGAAATTGAAGAAATAATCATAAACTATCAAAAATTAAACATATAGGAGGAAAACAGCAAAAACAAAGAGTATGAGAGAACTATGGCAACTTCAAGTGGTCTAATAATTTTGTAATTGAAGTTCCTAAAGAAGTAGAGGAAAACTTTCAAATTTAATGAAAACTACAAACCCAGGTTCCAATAACTCACTGAACTCCAAGAAAAAGAAACATGAAGAAGATTACACCAAGGTATATTCTAATCAAATTGTCTAAAACAAATGATAAAAAGAGAATCTTAAAAGCAGCCAGAGGAAAAGAAATCTTACAAAGATGGGATAACAGTAGGCATCTCATCAAAAATAATGCAAGCAAGGCAACAGTGAAATAGAGAGAAAGCAACGCCTTCAATCTAGAATTTGAAACCAAGTTAAAATATTTCAAAAAAGAATAAAGTCTTTCTTAAATGTACAAAAGATAAAGTAAATCATCATTAGTACATGTGTCCTACACAAATTTTTAAAGGCAATCCCAGAGGCAAAAATAAAATGATACCAGACAGAAATACATTATCAAACAAAGGAATAAGTCCAGTGGAAACTATACACATAAATATACAATATTATTTTCTTTTGTAAAAAATTTAGGGCTGGAGATGGACAGTATGCCTTTATTTTATTTGTTTATTTTTTTATGTAGTGCTAAGGTTCTAACTCATTGCCTGACACATGCTAGGCAAGCCCTCTGCCACTGAGATACAACCACAGCCCAAGATTATTTTCTTATGATTCAATTATCTTTAAAATAAAACTGACTATAAAATAATGCATTCTATGATTTATAATATAAATATAATAAATGTTAAAAATAGAAAAAAGGCAGGAAACAAAAAATGGTTCTAACAAACATAAAATAGGATAATATTACTTGACAGCAGACTTAACTAAAGATGTATGTTCAAGATAGACAACTTATAATTAAAGATGTGTAATACAAACCTTAAAGCAATCAATAAAATTACAAAAGATTTAGAGCTAAGTCAACAATGGAGATAAAATGGAATTTTAAAAACCCTCAATCCACAAGAAAACAGATAAGGAAAAATGGAGAAATATGCACACCTATGCTTTTATGCACACGTATACACACACACACACATCAAGATCTAATCACATGCTGTTGATAATAAGGACATGTTAGAAATGAAAATGAGGGACCAATATATACTATGCCAATACAAGTCATAAATAGGCCAGAGAGGCTATATTAATATATAAAAGAGTAAATTTCAGATCCAAGAATATTACCACTTATAATGAAGAACATCCATAAAGATAATAAGGACAGCTTATGAGGAGTATATTACAAATAGGTTTTTATGTTCTCAAGAACAGAGATTTAAAATATATGGAGTGAAAATTGTTAGAACCTCAGGAGAAATAGACAAATGCTGAACTACAATGATATTTTAGTATTACTCCCCCAATAATTAATAGAGAAGGAACAGGAAAAATCAACAAGATGTAAAGACTTGATATCACTGTTAATGAATTTTACCTGACCACCATTTATAGAAAGTTCCATCCCCAAACAGTAGAATGTACAATCAAGTGCACATGTGACTTTTGCTACAAAAAAAAAAAATCTAGACCATAAAGTGAGTCTTAATAAGTTTAGAAGAATGTAAGTCACACAAAACATTTTCTCTGGTAACAATGGAATTAAATTAAATATCACTAACACAAAGAGATCTGAAAAGTCCTCAGAAACAAAATATATGTAAAACAAACATTACTCCCTTTTGAATAAGTTATGAGTCAAAGAATAAACCAAAATGGTAATTGGAAAGGATTTGAAATTGAATGAAAATGAAAACAGTTCATATCAAAATGTGTGGGATGCTGTCAAAGCAGTGCTTTGAGTGATATTTATAGCTCTAAATATCTGCATTATAGTACAAAGGTCTTAGATGAATGACCCCAGTTTCTACCTTAAAAAACAAAATAAGAGCAAATTAAACACCAAGTAAGCTGAAGAAGGGAAATAATGAAGATTAAAATAAAATTCAATAAAATAGAAAAACAAACAGAAAAATCAATGAAAATATACTAAATGGAATTAACACTTTATAGATTACTATATGCTGCTGGTAATGAACTACACCAAAGTAATGAGCAGAACAGGATACAAAGCAAAAAGAGGCATGCGCGCATATATATGACTGAGCTTGGCAAAGATAGAAACCAGTTCAGTAAAGGATAGTCTTTTGAACAAACAGTGTTGAGTAACTAGAGAGTCAAACACAAAAATAAAGAAATGTGATCCATTCCTCATGCCATATACAAAAACTAACTCAAAATTACATACTTGACTGCAAAACCTGAAACTATAAAACTTCTAGAACAAAACAGGAGAAAAATGTTAATTTTTGGTTAGGAAAAGATCTCCTAGATACAATACCAAAATCATGAACAATAAAACATTAAAAAAAACTTGTACTTCATAAAAATTAAAAATTCTGTTTTTCAAAGATATTATTAGGAGAGTGTAAAATTAAATCAAACTGAGAGAGAAAATCTTTGAATGTATCACCTGTTTGATAAAGGTTTGCATCCAAAAAACATATAAAGAAATAAAGAATCCAATTAAGAAAATAGTCAAAAGATACGAAGATAAGGAGATGGCAGATCAACACATATGAAGAGATGTTCAATATAATAAGGAAGGAAGTCCAAATCAAAACCACAATAAGATACCATTCCAAATACTTAAAATTAGCTAAAATTGATGATTGACCATATCAATCACTGACAATGTAAAACAACTGGAACTCACATAAACCACGGTGGGAACATAAACTGATGTGTGGAAAACCATTTGGCAATTTCCTATAAAGTTAAACATACACCTTTAACATGATCCAAACATACACCTTTAACATGATCCAGCCAAATCACCAGTTAGGTATTTAAACAAGTTAAAAAAAAATGAAATCTGTCCATACAAAGATTTGTAGATGAATGTTCACACCAGCATTGTAATTGCCAAAAATTGGATATATTCCAAATGATATCAACAAGTAAACACAAAGAAACATAATTCAAAAATAAGAGGGAATAAAATACTGATAAATCTGACAACATGGGTGAATCTTTATGCTCACCAAAATAAGACAAAAAAGATATATACTATATGATTCCATTTATAAAGAATTCTAGAAAAGGTAAATTCAACCAAAGTGGGAGAAAGCAGATCAGTGATTATCTGGAAATCAGGGTGAAGGGAGAAGGAAAGAGATGATTACAAGGATACATGAAGGAACTTCAGGAGTAATAGATATGTTCTTTACCTTGTGGTCATAGTTGCACATTTACTTACATATATTAAAATTTACCAAAATGTATACTTTAAAATTATATACTTTAATGTTTATCAATTATACTTCAAAAAAGCTGTTTAAGAGAACATAAAATACTTGCATTAGTAAAATATTTGGTTAGGAACAAAGCTTAAAGTTTTACATGTTAAAAAAAATCAACGTAGTGCTTTGAGAGTATGACATGTAAACAATTGGATTTGTTTAGATCTGATGCATTTCAGGTTATATACTGACATTTGTCATATGTATTATTTTCTAGATTGTTTAAAATTAACTTTGAAAATCTGGCTTTTTCTTCAATAGGTGGAGCTAAATTAAATTACTCAACTTCAAATACTCAAAAAATTCAGTACAGTTAAAAGTGCTAATAATTTTTAGGGACTCAAAATTTTTGGAGAGTTTACAATATTTCCATGCACAAAGTTAACAGCCATATACAAACCAGAAAATGAATGCATTCTTCAAAGATCAAGATCATTCTCACTAACCATCATAAGATTTTGCATCTCACTAATGACTGCAAAACCATGTCATTTAAATTTTTTATTTCTTAATAAAGCTTAGAAATAAGGATATTTGCTATAAAAAAGAGAAATATTTTGTAAGTTTCTGCATCATTTTTCTAGAAATGCAATCAAATAATTCACTTGATTAAACAAATTAAGTTAAGAGTTTGAGAGATAAAGATTCTCATTGAAAAGGTCACACACCGAATTAAAATACACTTAGGGGCTAAACTGTGAAAAACAGTATAGTGAACTTTAAAATACTATTATTCATACTAAGGACAGAAGAACTTGAAGCATATTAAAAGTTATAGAATTTCTCATTATTCTGGTATTAGTTCACTGGTAGGACATAAATGGAACAAAACAAATTAGAGTAAGCTCTCTGTTGCTTTACCAGTTGCTTAGAAATTCATACCTCGTAGTAGCTGTTCTTGTTTTACCACAAGCCCTTGGTATTTTTTAAAAGTTTTTTCATAATCCTTTCTCAAGGTTTGATTTTCAAGGTCTTCATCAAGTAAAAACTAAGTTAAGGATCATATATATTAACCAAAGCAAAGACAACCTATTGAAAAATACCTAGAAGAATACCATTAATATTTTATATGCAACTTTAGTTATTTTCTCTAACCAACAGTTGACTAAAATGTTGTTTTCTTCCCAATATTTGTGCTATTAACAGGACACCTTAGTCCAGTATTCAAGGTTTTCCTCAGATTCCTTTGAATCAGGAAATATTTGAATTTCACCAAATACTTGAATTCCTAGAAATTAGGTGTAAATATTTTAGGTAAGTTGCCAACTCTATAACTTTCAAATGATTATCAAGTGCTTTCATGTCAAGATTATTGCCTTGCAGAAAATGATTTAGTTACTAAGAATACTAGATTTTACTTCAAATAGATGCCCAAAATGGATTCAAAGAATGCAGATTAAATCTAAAGCTCTTTGCACCCTCTTCAGATTAGAGATGCCAAGAGAAAAACATTCCAAAGAAAAAGGTCCACTTTTTCCACAAAAGGGAGTTAAAAAATGTATGCTATTCTGTAAAATAGGAATAACGTTTTTATTTTTTAAAAGATATCAATAAAAATTGGATTAAAAGGAATGTTATGAGCATGACTTGTTAATCTAAAAAAACGTCACATTAGGATAAATATGAATAAGCCAGCCTTCAATCTATAAAAATTAAATTGTCGAAGAAATATGACATGTATTTTTAAATAAGAGGTGAATTGTAATGTTAAAAAGAATATTCTATATTACTTCAATAGATAATAGTTAAAGGGATGGAAGTTATTTGGAGATGGACTTTGGTTCATTAAGTGAAGGAACATTATAATAAATAGAATTCCAAACCACAGAATGGGTTAAACCAATAGGCAATAACATTGTTAAGACTATATAATTATTTTTCAAGTTAACTGTAGAAAACAATTATGGTAATGTAAGTTAAAACATAATTTCTGAGGTTGGTTTCACAGGTTCTATCATTCTATAAGCTTCTCAAATTTGTATTTATTAAGAACAGTATTTTGCACCAGGTATGGTAGCACATGCCTATAATCCAAGCAACTTGTAGGATGAGGCAGGGAGATTGCAAGTTCAAGGCCACCCTCAACATCTTAGCAAGACCCTCAGCAACTTAGTGAGACCCTATTTCAAGATAAAAAGGACTGGGGATGTGACTCCATGGTAAATTGTCTCTGGGTTTAATCCCTAGTAACAAAAAAACAAAAACAGTATTTTTGCACTTAACTAGAAAAACATAATTTAATAGAAAAACAGAATGTTAAATTAAATTCATTACACAATTCACATCAATTCCCATTCAAGTCTTCTTTGTATTTGAATAGAAGTACAAGAGCAACAATGGTGACCCATGCTTCAGCTGACCAATGGATCTTAGCAGACATAATGAGGCTACTTAGAGTCTCGCCTATTCAGTTATCCTGAACTACTACTGTCTTCTTCCTTCCACTTCATTAACTAATCCAAGTTCAGAAGAGGCAAAATGCTTATGTCAAACTGTATTTATTCTGATACTCTGAATCTTTATCTTAACCATCAACATACTTTTGAATGGTTTCCAAGCAATGTGATAAGTAATAATAATAATAATAATAAAAGAACAAAACAAAACTATCTTTATCAATAGGCAGCATAGGTCAAAATGCCACTCTGAAAGGATATCAGCTTTCTTCTTCTTGGAAAGTTCTTCTTGCCAAAGCTCATGTCTTTTTAACTCATGATCAATGATGTTCATACATAGAGCTCCAATTTTATAGTGAGTTATAAGTCCATGAAACTGAGAAAAGCTTTAAAGAAGAGATTTTAGTATGTATTTAAAGGAATATAGTTGATCCATGAAATTCGGTTTCAGCAAACACTGGCACAAATCATATACATTTCAATAAATGAATATGTCTCTAATATACTAGGAAGATTTGGAATTGCCAGATATATATAAAAGATTACTTTCAATATATTTTAATATATTACCCTCACCATACATTTTAAGAAGTTAAGAATCAAATAAAATTTTTATAATTAAGCACAAAAGGGGCTAGGATGTGCTCAGCAGTAGAGTGCTGGTCCAGCACGTGTGAGGCCCTGGGTTCAATACTCAGCACCACATAAAATAAATAAATAAAATAAAGGTAGTGTGTCCAACTACTTCTAAAAAATGAATGTTTTTTAAAAAATAATTAAGCACAAAAATATTAACTACTTGGATAGTCTCAGAATAAATTTTCAAACTACTAACAAAAATGTACCATACTAGACAGGTTATATTCATTGTTTGAATAAATTGTAACAGAATAAACTAGTAAAATACTAGCAATTTAGTTTTACATGTTTCCTAGACAAATAATTCATCCAAATAATTTATTCCATAAATATTTATTTGCTAATTCTGGCATTTTAGAATGGAGGCAAGCAATTTTCTAGGAATTGCTAGAAATTTTTCATGATGTCTTAACAAACATTTTTCTTCAGAATATTTGTGTGTAAATGCAATGTTATTCAGCCATAAAAATAAAAAAATCCTGTCATTTGTGGTGACATGGATGGAAGTGGAGGACACTACGTTAGGTGTCCAAGTTAGATCAGAAAGACAAATACTGTAACTCTTTACTCCTATTTAGAAGATAAAAAAGTTGATTTCATAGAAGCATACAGTTACATGAGAGAATAAATTCTAATGTTCTACAACATAGTGGGATGACTATATCTGACAACAATTTACAATCTATTTTATAAAGGACTAGAATGAAGAAGTTCAAAGTCTCAATACAAAGAAATGATAAAAACTTAAAGAAAAATATACTAATTGACCTGATTGGATATTATACATTTTTTGTATGCAAATATCTCATCACACTCTATCCCATAAATATGTACAAAATTGATAAAAAATGAAATTGATATTTAAAAATATATGAAAAAATATGATACATAATATGTACATACTTGTATTTGCACATATATATGTATATATAACAAAAACATTTACTGAGCACTTACTCTGGATCAGACTTTATTAAGAATTGTAGTTCTTACTCATCTAAAACTAAAAACTATCTGAAAAGGCTACCACTATTACTATTCAAATTTTACACAAGAGGAAACTGAGGCACAATTAAGTAAAGTAATCACATTCACACAGTTAATAAACAGTAGGCTTGGATTCAAATGTTAAACTCTTAATGTTAAACCCTAAATCATTATACTAACCCACTGGGTGTGTGTGCTGGCATGGGTAAGTACAGATTAAACGAAGAGACAACTGAGAGCAAAACAGAAAAGGAAAGAGAGGGAACAAAAGGAAAGAGAGAGAACAAAAGGTAGAGCATAGGAAAATATACAGAAAGACCCAGAGAACCTATAATCTACAAACTGACGCAGACAAATAGCAATGGAGATAGACCAGCCTTTTATTTTATAAGTTTTATACTTACCTAGAAAAGCAAAAAAAGATGTAAATTATGTTTGTAGCTAATTCAACGCTTTGCTTCCAGTCTTCTCTCAGGACTCTTGCCAACGCACCAAGGGCAGTTTCTAAAGAAAAAGGAGACATGCAAAGATAATCATTTCCCTTGCCTCTAGTATAAAGGGTGACTGGTTTTAAATGTTGACTCATGAATAAATTACAAAGCTAAGCTAAAACTGGAACAAAAAAGTAAGATATTTCTTTCCAATACAGAAAGCTATTTTAAAAATTATAATATAAACTTTCACTTAAAAACTTATAATGAACAGCTTCAAGTCTAAACTACAAATAAGTTAAATATGGTTTAAAGTAACATAATATTATGGTGACAATAAAATAATAAAAAGGGCCATTCATCTCTTAATTTGCATTTCTACTTGGAATCTTACTACTCTGGTACCAATTTTTTTTCTAATATCTTATTTAATGTATAAGGGAAAAATTAAAATAAATCTAGAAAAAATAATAACATTTTGGTATGAGCAGACTAACACTAGCTCCATAAAGTAAATTAATCAAATAAAATTTTACAGAAAAAATGTCTATTTCAGTATCACCTGCCAAAAGCCATAAGCAAACAAATATCTTCCAAAAATTAGATCCCACATGTTAATGAGCATCGCTGCTAAATTTTTTATCTAAAGGAAAGTAAAATTAATGATTTGATAAATGAAAATTACATATATTAAGTAAATATAAAGTAATGACTTTGGTTTTACATTACCAAAAATTGTCTTACCAATTTTTAAAAATTTTATGAAACTAAAATACTTGTATGTTAAAAATATATAAATCATAATCCAACTGTCTTTAATAAGTACTCAGGATCTATTGTACTTCATGGGCAGAATTATCAGTATTTATGATCATTATAAAAAGGTTCAGTTTTTTCCCCACTTTCTGGCTATTCAGATTATGAAACATAAATTAACTCTATTTATTAACAGGAATAAAAAGTGGGAATACTAAAATAGATCCATGAATATATGGGTACAGAATTTGTTTTAATCCACTTAGTGGAGGATATTTTAAACAACTAAAAAACATCCTACAATAGCATTTCACAATATTATTCACATTCACAATGTAGAACACTGAAATAATGTATATTTTAAACAAAATTATTATAATGTCAAACAAGTAGAAAGGTAGTGCATATCAATATGTAAAAAATCCCCCCAAAGTCCTACTTAATAAAGAATCTGGTAATTCCCAAAGGAATTCTATATTCTATATTTTAATTATATTTCCACATTCTATAATGTAAATTTAGCTATAAGTTTAGTGATTTATTTGCCTAATTTTATATCATTCTTCTCCTTTAATATAGGATAATGTCAACAAATACATAGCTACAGGAATTCAATACATGTTATCAAGAAATAGCCAAAAGAAATCATAAAGGTCAAAATGTAACCAAAAATTTATCTATAAGTTGAAAATAATTTCAATCAAAATGCCATTATGTTTTTCCACAGAATACATAAATGTATCTCAAAATTATACATTAGTCAAATGTACAACACTGACAGAGCAAGTTTTTAAGGAAAAAAAAGGCAAATTAGAGCATTTTTCTTAAATATTCTAAAACTGTAGTCAAAATATAAAACAAAAAAGCAACAACAACAAACAGGATTATATTGGTTTGGAACTCATCAAATAGACCATGGGAACAAATATGGGAACACTAAAATAGATCCATGAATACATGGGTATAGTATTTGGCAAATAATAACTTTTCAAGAATAAGTTTTCAAAAAGCATCAATTCCATAGAAGAATGGTAGGCATATAGTAAAAAAGACATTTTGAATACGGGGAAAGGAAAGAGATTCACTAACTAGGTTGAAATAAGTGGCTATTCCAATATGGAAAAAGTAAAATTACATCCCTAACTCATCATTTTTAACAAAAATGAATTTAAGGCACATTCAGAATGGCAGACTACCTCCCAAAATCTACTCCTCCATGATCAAATAAGAAATCTGGCAAAAACTGTCAAAATCATTTTTTTTTCCTAAACCAAAGGAATTAACTAAAAACAACTCACAGAAAAATTGGCTGAATATTGGTAAGAAGAATGAGTTTCATGGCAATTCAACTTACCCTAATTCTATCCTGTCTAGCTTTGTGGTTCCTTGAAAACCAGTAGTATCACAACTACAAGAACTATAAAAGCCAGCAGAGTAGCCTGGCAAGAGCTACAGGGAAGAGGAGCCTGAGGCTCCATTGCAGAGAACTATCACTAACCCACCTATCTGGATACTTGCTGAAAAACTCCATTCTTGGGGTGTATCTTAAAACTCAGGATAATTGTCAAACACTATTGTTGGTAACATAACAGCGGCCTGAGGTAGCCTCATATCAGCTTTCTTTTATAAAAAAAACAGGATTAATAAAAGGTTCACCAAAAAACTTAAAAAAGGAAAAATGAGAAATCAGATTATAGGAATTTAAAAAGCTCCAATATATCCCTGGGAATCTAGAAGGCAATGCATAGGTGCAGGGTTTTACATTTACCAGGGAAAGACCTGAAGGCCCTCATCTCTCATCTCTGGCTAAACCCGAGACAAGGTGCAAAAGCAGAAAGTAAAGAAAAATTTTTAAACAACCTGCTTGAGCATAAAAGACATGCCCCAAAATACAGAGAATCCCTTAGCAAAGGCTCAGAGACTTATTGCCAAATGTTCAAGGAACTCTGTCCAAACATTGGTTGGCCACTAAGCTAACTGAGGAGAAATTTCAGTGGACATACAGGCAAAGGATATTGACTTTATAAAATCAATCCACATAACTCAGTAAACAGACAAACAATATCAATAACAACCGCTAGTGATAGTGAGAATTTGATTTCCAAAGTTGTTATAATGATATTATTTCAACAACAACAAGGCAAAGAAACAGAATAGTGTGGACCATACTCAGGAAATAAAGTATTCACAAGAAACTGTACATGAGGAAGCAAAGATGTTGAATTTATGAGACAAAGACTTTAAGTCAGCTACTATAATTATATTCGAAACACTAAAGTAAATCATGGCTGAGTAATAAAGTGTATAAAGATATAAGAATGATGTTTCACCAAAGATACAAATTATTAAAAAAAAGACCCAAATAAAAATTCTCTGGTTGAAAATAAAATAATTGAAATGAAAAATTCATTAAGAAGGTCTCAACAGCAGATATGAACCAGAAAGAAAAAAGATCTGTAAAGACAGATCAACTTAGATAATTCAATCTGAGGAAAAGAATGAAGAAAAAATAAATGGCCTCAAAGACCTAGGGAGCACCTCAAAGTGTAATAACATACATAATGGGAATCCCAAGGGCAGAAAAGAGAAAAAGGCAGAATGAATAGTTAGTAAAATAATGACCAAAACTTGATTTTTGTGGAAAAATATTAATCTGAACCTTCAAAAAATTAAACAACCTCCAAGTAAGATAAATGCAAAGTCAACAACAACAAACACTCAATAAAGTACATCAGAGTCAAACTGGTAAGAATGAAGGCAAAGAGAATGCTGAAAGTAGCAAAAGAAAAGCAATTTAGTATATACATGGAATCCTCAAAAAGATCACAGCTGACTTTCTATCATAAACCATACACACATGTAGGCAAATGGGATAATATAAAGAGGTAAAAGAACTCCTATCAACTGAAAATTCTATATACAACAAATCTATCCTTCAAAAAACTAATAAAATTAAGTTACTATAAGGTCAACAAAAACTTAAAGAGAATTTATAACTAGCAGACCTTATCTACAAGAAATATGAAGGGAATCTCTTCAAACTGAAATGAAAGAACACTGTACAGTAACTTAAATCCACCAAAAGAAATGCATACAATGATAATTATATAATTGTGTTGATGGATTTATATAGATATGTAATTTGTATGGCTAAATAGTACAGAGGAGTAAGGAGGAAAAAGTCAGAATGGCAGCTACCAAGAATACAATATGAGTTGGCAAGGATGTGGGGAAAAAAGGCACACTCACTCTTTGCTGTGGGACTACAAATTGGTACAGCCAATCTGGAAAGTAATATGGAGATTCCTGGGAAAACTTGGAATAGAACCATCATTTGACCCAGCTATCACACTCCTCGGCTTATACCCAAAGGACTTAAAAACAGCATATTCCAGGGACACAGCTATATCAATGGACAACTCACAATAGCTAAATTGTGGAACCAACCCAGATGTCCTTCAATAGATGAATGCATCAGGAGACTTTGGTATATATACATAATGAAACTTCATTCAGCATTAAAAAAGAATAAAATGGAGGAAATATCACTCAGTATTAAAAAAGAATAAAATGGCATTTGCAGGTAAATGGATGGAGTTGGAGAATATAATGCTAAGTGATGAAAGCCAATCTTCCAAAACCAAAGACCAAATGTTTTCTTTGATATGAGGATGCTGACTCATAATGGGGATGGCAGGGAGCATGGAAGGAATGGAGGAACTTTAGATAGGGCAAAGGGGAGGGAGGTGCAGGGAGGGTACAAAGGGGGTAGGAATGATGGTGGAATTAGTTATACATCACTACCCTAAGTACATGTATGAAGAAGACATGAATGGTGTGAAAATACTTTGTGTACAGTGACTTGAAAAATTGTGCTTTATATGTGTAACATGAAATGAACTGTACTCTGTCATCATGTATAACAAATTAGAATAAATAATGAAAAAAGAATTATATAGAAAATAAATAAAAAATGTTAGATTCAATTCCTAACTTATAAGTTAAGTTAATTACATTAATCTTAAATAGACTAAACACTTTGATGGATAAAAATGAATAAAAAAACATAATTCAACCATATGCTATCTAAAATACAAATACTTTAGACTCAAAGACACACATGGTGTGCAAGTAGAAGTATGGAAAAAAGATATACCATGGGAAATAGACAAGTAATAGATTGAGAAACAGACAGTAGAGAAACAGACAAGTAACAGAAAGAGAAACAGAAAAGTAATAGATTGTAAGAAAATATTCCTAAATACATTAAAAAGTATTACAGGGGCTGGGGTTTTAGAGCACTTGCCTAGTGCATAGGAGGCACTGGGTTTGATCCTCAGCACCACATTAAAAAAAATAAACATATAAAATAAAGTTATTAAAAGAAGTACTAGAATTCAGAATGTAAATATTTAAGACATGAAAATCATGTGTGTGTGTACACATGCATGTCTATGCATGTACATAATACTTAATATATGAATATAAACTTTAGAGGTAGAATTGTTTTGCAATAATTTTTCTTTTTTTTTTAAGAGAGAGTGAGAGAGAGGGAGAGAGAGAGAGAATTTTTTTAATATTCATTATTTATCCGCAGACACAACATCTTTGTTTGTATGTGGTGCTGAGAATCGAACCCAGGCCGCACGCATGCCAGGCGAGTGCGCTACCGCTTGAGCCACATCCCCAGCCCTGCAATAATTTTTCTATTTTTAATGTTTAAATGTTTATAGACATAAATCACCATTTAATAGTAGTTCTTCCAAGTTATCAGGATTTCTAGCGAGCTGGAGTATCAAAGCAGAACCCCGAACTTTGTCAGGAATATCTTCATATAATAATTCAATATATTCATCCATGTCATTAATGTTAGCAACTTCATCAATCTGAAACAAAATAAGAGGCAGAAAGGCTTAATAATAATGCTCAACAGATTAACTGCTAAAATACTGATATTTTGGGATCACTATACTACCCTTTATAACCAGAAACCAATTTCTAAAGACTTCATAGTAGCTATCTTCTTTTTAAGATGGGGATTTTAAGCCTTTGGGTTCTAGGACTCTAAAACCAAAGTGTAACAATGAGAAAATGTGATGTATATAAACTCTGAAATTTGTCAGTAAAGTATTTTAATGTAATACAAAGTAATTTGTATCTACTATAAAAGAAAAAATAATATTTCAAAACACTGCAATAAGAATAATCTAAACACTTTTACTACTTATGTTAACAAAATAATGTTTAAAACACACAACCAATAATTTTCAGTATCAATTAAATATCAATTTTCTACCTTTCTCAGATACCTCTAAGTTCAGTCATTTTTTTAAAATTCCACATCAGATTAATGTGATTATATGCATTATTAATGGTAAAAGGCAATATTTTACAAGCAGTCCTTTATTAGATCAGAATTCATACACTCTTACCTCCATTCCTTCAAAAGGAGGTGGATCTTTAGGCTTGCTTGATTTTTCTTTTTTTTCTGCAAAAAGATTTTTTTTAATGAGGAGAATTAGGTTTTCAGGGTTTCTGGGTGATTTTATTTTCAACAGCTGAGTTTGATTCTAGCTAAACTGGGGATATTAATTGATGAAACTTATCTCTTTTCAATGTATAAAAATGCTCATCTATTATCCATCCATCTGTTCTAATGATAATATCAAGGAGAGTATAAACTAATAAATTCTATAATCCCAAAGTTATGTTGGGCAACAATTTTAATTTTCTTCTTGGTTAACTTTTGGGGTATGTGCTCAGCAAGACTTGTTAACAAGAAGCATAATAGTTAATTCTAATTATCCTCTTTGTCCCTTCCTTATTCAAATTTAAGGTGGAAATAGTTGAATCAATAAGGCAAAGAAAAAGATAATAGATAATATAAAAAAACTGAGTAATGTTAAAACTAATGTAAAAACTAACAAGGGTGAAGAATAAGAAATGATAGGTCAAATTTCAAGTTAAAATAATGTATAGTTATTCCCAAATAAAGAGGTATCTAAAGATGAATTAATCAAAAACATAAATTTCATTTCTGAAAAAAAATCTATAATACTTTTGCAAAATGGTACAAAACCTAAGTAATACATGTTACGGTGATAGAAAAATACAAAAATTTGATTCTATAATAATTAACAACTAAATATACATATAATAGAATTAGCTCATTATTTTCAGAGGATAGGAGGCATTCTAGAGTGATGAATCTCAACAGCTAAATTTTGTCTCAAACAGTGGTTTCAGTTAGCAAAGAAAAAAATCCCTTAAGGTGACAAATCACATGATCAATTATTATTGCTTTGTTTTAAGTCACTTTTTGGAAAAAGGCTTCTGGCTTTGAAATATTGAATACCAAGTAAAATTGTTAATATTTTAAAAATAAGTATACATTTAATATAGTAAAGCATTTTGTCCAAACAGAGAAAATAATGATTTTAATATTTTTGTCCATGTATGACTATACAAAATATTTTCATATTCTTTTAATTTTGGGGAGAGGAAAAAATCTGATTCATCCTGAAAACTCAGTGATAGAGTTTTCACTAGTTTAAACATGTTTTAGCAAAAATTCCTTTAGAATTATATGAATTTGCCACTTTGAAAGATCAAATTTAACTATTATTGTACAACCCATAATAAATACACACAGATCTTAAAACATTACCAGATTTGCTGTGCTCACTTTGAATTTAATTGAAGATGCCATTTCTCATCATTTATAAACATCTTAATTAGAGTATCTTTTAGATAATATTTGTTTAATAAAATTTGCATTGACATTTTCTTATCTATATAACACCTCTTAGTAATTACTATGTGATTGGAAGTAATCAAGTTCATAATGCCTATTTTTGCTTTTAAATAAATGTATAGCCATTCAATTCATTTGACAAATATATAGTGAGCATTTAATATGTATTAGATGGTGTATTTAGGGCTAAATAATAAAATTATTTATTAGGCACAAGGCATTTTATTTGCTGGGAAATAAATAATGCTGAGAAAAAATACTAATTTGAAAAAAGTCAAAACAAAATTTTTATTTATTTTTCTATACAACCCAGTCAAAATTTGGACACTGACATATTATTTTAGAAGCATCATATTTTAGAACCCATCAACGTTGAAAGATATGTAAATTTAGTAAATACTGTGAAATGGTATTACTAAGCATTCAGTAATCTGAGATACTGTTCACTGAAATAAAGTTTTACTTTGTTTTCTGGATGATTATTTGAAAATGTCTTCTGTAAGAATTTTCTTAGCTGTAATACCTTAATTCTATGGTTCTTTTATATGAAGGAATTGAACATAAAACAATACAGGAGTTGAAGAATGAAAAAAAAGATTATATTTCCATTAAGAAGATTTATTTATAAAAGTTACATCTTTAGGATAGTCTAAAGCACATGACATATGCTTTTCTTAAAATTTACATACTTAAATAATTCATTCAAATTATAAATTAAACATAAATTAAGAAATTTAAAAAATATTCTCTAGTTGGGGTGGGAAAAATTGGTTTCTTCCTTAAATTATCTTCTTTTATTATTCTACAGTCAATCTGACAGATTCCTTTTTTATTCCTTATTTCAGTGTACTTCAATACAAAAACAATGAAATATGTGGAAGCAATAAAAACTGGCTTAAAGGAAAGTAATGCTTGTTTATTCTATCATTTGCTAACTTGTTCACAGTACTAGTTTAAAAAAAAAACAAAAAACAAAACAACCTTACCCAACATTCAACTATGTGAAGTCTAAACTCTAGTCAAACAACTTTGGTTTTAAATTTAAAAATCAGGAATTCCTGGGATAGGGTTGTAGCTTAGTGGCAGAATATCTGCCTGGCTTTGTGAGGTCCTGGGTTCTATCCCCAGCACCACACACAAAAAAATAAGGAATTCTCCTACCTACCTTTTCCTGACAATGAATCACGGCGGTTCTGCAGATAGTATAACAGTTGTTCCACCTCATTGAGTTTTGAGGGATGAATGAGCTTGCATTCTTCAACCACCTTCCGAGCCAGAGAAGTTATATCTGTGTTGGCATTGAGACTCTTCAGACGAATGCTGCAAGCACATTCAAATTCTAACTCAGATATTCTAAAGTATGTGACAGATTTAATAATAAAATGGTTTACAGATTTTAAGAGAGTCAATACGTATCTGGCCATAGAATCTCAGTAAAATAAATAAAGTCCTATATAGGAAAAATACTAAACAGGGATTTTCTTTGAGCTGGACAGGCAAAGTAAAAAAGCAACATAAATCTTTTTCTGTTGAGGCAGGACAGAACCTTCTGAGGTTCTATTTTAAAGCAGCATTTCTGATGTAAAATTCATAGTCTTAAGTCATTATTGGATTTGAGAATCCATACTGCCACAAATAAATATATATATTTAACCTCACCCACATTTTTATTTTTTTAAGTTAGGACAAGACATAATCTTGATATTTTCAAATTCAGTTGCTCTGGTGGCAACTGTATAAAACATAAATAAAGAGAAAAAGCAAGACACATTTTAAGACCTGTATGAAGAATTCTGTGAATTCTGGAACAAATGAATAGATTTTATACTTACATTAGTATATTAAATATAATAATTAACCAGCTCCCTCTTCCTTTTAAATTTAGCCCAAGAGATCCACTGAGAGACCAATAAGAAAAGATAGTTCAAGTCTTAAGACAATTAACTAATGGATTCATGGCATGTGGGAAAACTATGAAGACTAAAATCAGGTCCAGAATGAAGAATCAAAACTGGCAAAAAAAACCCAAAACTGTCAAGCAGATGCTCCTATGAGAGGTTTACATTCAAAAAAAGAATATTAAGCAAGCCTCCACTGTGTAGAATTATTTCTTGGTGAAGATGGCTAATTTTGTGGGGAGGGAGATATCAAGCTATTGGAGCAGGAGTGGACATCTCAGATAATGCTTTAAATGTATTATTTTTCAAACCATTATTAGATGCAGATGATCTCTCCTGAAACCAGTCCAACAAAGTGCCCTAGATACTATTCCTAGCTAACATAGACAACCCCAAATCTTGTTCACCAGGGATTCTGCAAACTACCTAATGGTCTCTAATAAATTCCTTTTTGCTTAAATTTCCTAGAGTGGCATGTCTAATGTTTCTAACAAAAACCCTAGTAATGGCCTGTCCTTAATCATATTTTTTTCTTCAAACTACTTGGATTTTTGGTCCCTATTAAGTTGTATAAAGTTCTGTTTATATTTTTGAATAGTTTTGGCTACACAACAAAAGGTAGATGGCAAGGAGGGTACATTTAGAAGAAAACTCCATGGTTAACTTTAACAAAGAATTGGAAAAGCCCTGACTGTTTCAATAAATCTGATGGAGAAGACAATTTTTTTTAAAAAAAATTATCAGACTTTTTAGAGAAGTTTCAGGTTTACAGAAAAACTATACAGAAAGTAGAATACTCCCATATATGCCTCCCTCATAGTTTCTAATATTTTACTATTTTTTATTATTACTCTCTTGCATCAGGTTGGTATACTTATTTTAACTGATGAATCAAAATCAATACATATAATTATTAACCAAGGTCCATAGCTTATGTTAGGGTTCACTCTTTGTGTTCTATGAATTTTGATAAAAGCATGTCATATATATCAATTATAGTATCATACAGAATAATTTTACTGCCTTGAAATGCCCTGTTCTTCATCTCTCCCTCCCCTTAATTACTGGCAATCTCTAATCTTTTTACTATATTTATAGCTTGCCTTTTCCAGAATGTCATGTAATTGGAATCATATAGTACATATATTTTTCAGAATGGTTTCTCTCACTTAGCAATATACAATTAGACTCCTTCATTTCCTTCATGTCTTTTTATAGCTTGATAGCCCATTTCTTTTTTTGGTACCATGGATGGAACTCAGGGGTGCTTAACCATTGAGCATACCCCCAGGGTCTCACTGAGTTGCTTGGGCCTCAATAAGTTGCTGAGGTAGGCTTTGAACTCCCAATCGACCCTACTCCCCCCACCTCAGGCAGGATACGCGATTACAAGCGTGTGCCACTGCGACCCACGATAATTCATTTCTTTTTACTGCTGAGTAATACTTGATTGTATAGGCTGCACCTGTTTGCTTATCTGTTCACTACTGAAGGATATCTTGGCTGCTTCCAATTGTTGACAATTATGAATAAAGCTATTATAAACATTCATATGCTAAGTTTTATTTGAATTTATGTTCTTAGCTCATTTGATGAATATCTAGGAGAACAATTGCTGGATCATGTGGTTTGTGTAGTTTAGCTCTGCAAGGAACTACCACATTTTCTAACAAAATGAATGCCATTTTATATTCCCAAAGTTATGAGGGTTCCTGCTTCTCTATATCCTTGCTGATATCTTGTTATTCTTATTGTTAGTGTTTGGATTTCAGCCATTCTAATATATATTAGCAATCTGATTCATTTCTTTCCACTCAGGATAATAAGACAAATTTTCTGATTTTAGTGTGTATTCTCTCCTAAATCTGTCATTTATTAAAAAGATAAGAAAAAATTCAGGAGGGTGAGAGATTTTCAGAATGTCAGCTTATGTTTACTGGATTAATTGTATCAATGAATAGAAGGCACCATGTATATGTCTATGAAGAACATCATAAACTCACAAAGTATCACCTATATTATTTTTGGATTAGGATCAACACTTTCCTGTAAAGAAATATTCAGAAAATTCAACACAGTTGAGGATGGGTTTGTAAATTCCTTTGATCAAAGGGAAGAATAAAATATAAGACTTCTGGAATGGGGGGGGGGAACATACCACTGGCAGTTTCACTTCATGTCTTTCTCAATCTATGAGATTCTCCTCATTCTCACAACTGATAATGCCTCCCAAATTAAAAAAAAAAAAACACTTTGGTACCACAATATGATTTCTCTCCATCTTGTGCATGAGCTTTACAAGGTAAATCTACTGGATTTTTCTCTTACTAAAATTTAAGTGCACTTTAACCCCAATGGGCAGTAACTCTTTCCATGTGGCTAACTCTACCAAATGTAACTCTTGTCTAGAAAGTCTGCAGATTTTAAAGTAACATATTTATCATTGCATTCCAGTTGAATGAGGCTAGTGACTAAATACTTAAGAATACAAACTTTAAATTTCTCTCCTGAAGTGTGGATGTTTGAGGTTCTAAAGGCAAAGAACCCAACCTTGAGTTTTTCTTCCAATAATAAGATATTTTCATGCATTCTCAAAATAAAGTAATCACAAAAACTCAAATGAGAGAACAATAAAAAGCAGTAGCTGGAATCTAAAAGTAAAGTATCTATGAACACATGTGTTTCTCTTCAATCTACTGTATTATCTAAAGAACTCGTTCATCTTTAATGAGTTATTAAGGTAATTTAGTTTCCTTCTAACCCAAATAAGAAGACCTATTAGAGATCCTAGTAAGATACTAGGCAACTTCTCTTTGAAGTTAGTTCCTCAAGATCTAAATTTCCTAAGTTAAACTAACAAGTCCCTAATAAACATATCTTTCATGATTGGTTTTACAAGTTAGTATACTTCTACTATAAACCAGGGTTTTCCAGTTGCAGTACTATTGAAATTTGGCTGTAGTAATTCTTGGTCACAGGTGGTTGTCTTGTGCTAATCATAACATGATTAGCAGCACTTGGTCTCTATACTTGGTCTCTAGTTGTCAATAGTACCCCTCTTATTATGACAACTAAAAATGTCCCCAGGCACTACCCAGTGTCCCCTTGTGAACAAAATCACTTCCTGTTAAGAATCACCACAATATACTTAAAGTTGTTCTCAGTATGCTAAATACTACTTGTTCTCCTAGTAATCTACACATACTTAACTCTACCAAGACATAGGATAGAAATTCTAAGTAGATACCAAGTCAAAATATTTTATGGAGGAAAAAGGATTGAGGGAGAAATTACTAGGCAATCTCAAATGTCTCTACTTCCCCAAAATTATAGAAGGAAGGTGAGATAATCACCAATAGAACAGGTTAATGAAAAAGGCCAGTTCCCAAAGGACTCTTGCCAAAGCAGGAAGGGAAGACTGTAGGATACTGAGAGATCTAAGATCAACTGCTTGAGTCAGAAAAATCTTGTCTTACTACTAACATCTTTCAGAGGACTAGATTTTCAAGGGAGGAATTCAATGTCTTTTCAATATTTGAAAGTCATATTACTTCCTACAAATTCAGGGAAAAAAAGAACACAAAATTCCTTAAGATCTACATTTTCTATGTTAAACTAACAAGTCCTTAATAAACATATCTTTCATGATTGATTTTTTAGTAGACACAAAAACCTTACTTTCTCTGGAATAAATAAACTTCATATTTATAATTAAATATAATCTTTCCTTTAATAATATGAAGTACTTCTGAAAGAATTATAATCATTTATCATATGAAGATTAAATAATATCAGATTTGTATAAAGTCTGTATAAGGTTTACTACTTTCAAAATGTATACAAATGAAGAAAACTTACATTTTTTGGCATTCCTTTCTTTCTCCCAACATGGGATCCCCCATTTCTCCAAGAATGGTAGCTTCCACTTCATATTGAACAATGAGTGCTTTTTCTGATGGATGTACATCAATATTCCCTCCTTTAACTTTCCTATAACACAAAATAAAAAAGAGCCACATTAAAAATTCATAAAATGTCCATGGTTTTTAACTTAGCTTCTCTTCTAAACTCCATGGACTAGATTAGCATATGCCTTTGAATCAGATTTACTCTGAACCTGGGACAAGAAATAACTCTTTTTCTACAACTTTATACCATATATATAATTTCAAGTCCTGGAGAAAGTACCTTTATGAATAGTGCTACCTTAGAAAAAATATATGTACCCAAAGAATCATGCATTAAAGCAAGTGAATGAAACACAAACAATTAAGATAGCCTTGGAGAGAATGACCTCATCTGAAAGCTAGCTCTTTCCCACCAAAGATAGCTGCATCTAAATTTATATTTTTTTATTGTTCAAAACATTACAATGCTCTTGACATATCATATGTCATACATTTGATTCAAGTGGGTTATGAACTCCCATTTTTACCACGTGTACAGTTTGCAGAATCACATTGGTTACACATCCATGTTTATACATATTGCCACAATAGTGTCTGTTGTATTTTGCTGCCTTTCCTATTTTAAAAAATTAACTACTGTACAGTGAAGCTTACAGTCTAGTTAGATCAGCAATTAATGTGATAGTAAGATATTCAGAAGGAAAAAGTTTGTAAGGAATGAAAGCAGTCAGAAACCAGCAAAAATCAAGGAATTAGGAAATCAGATATAGACATAAATTTAAAAGGATGGTACAAATTCTAAAAGATAATGAACAGAAGTTCAAGCTAGGGATTCATGGTGCTGTATTTATATATGTACACAGGAAATGCCTGTTTAGATATGGTTATGCATTATGTCTGCATGCAACCTATGACAAGTGCACTTCTGTTGTGGATTGCTGATTTAGTAAGAAAACTGTTGTTATCATAATGATGTCCATCAAAATTTATGTTTGTAATATCACTATGTGGTGGTTTTATCTTAAATGCTTAACTTGCAAACTTAATTTAATACAGCATTTATAATAATGTTGAATGTTTACTGACACAATTTCAAAAGGCTTTACTTGGATGCTATCAATTAGGTGAAAAAATTTAAGCTATTTTTGGAATAAAATGATATTCTACTTGAAAAGCATCATGACTGATATCAAACTGATATCTTTAAATTGCAAATTTCTTCTAGTTTTCAATACTTTTGCTTCATTTTGTTTTTATATGCTAAATTATTTTACAAAAAATTTGTACTTTTTATGTCATTGAAAAGTCATGTTTCACAAAGTAAATAAAAAATACACCTTCTATAACTGCAATGATAAATTGTCACCTTTGGATAGTGTAATTTGTTTTGTTTGTTTTTTTACAATAGTGGGATTGAACCCAGGGCCTCACACATGCTAGGCAAGAGCATTACCACTGGGCCACATGCCTGTTCCTTAAGTGTAGTGTTCTTAATTACTGACTTGTGAAGTGCACCCTTGTTTCTAGATTTCATGTGATATTATGATGACCGCTAACATACATACTAAATGGTGATAACTAGTGTCATGTTCATTATCATTTTCTCTGAGAAACAATAATGTGGTTCTTAATTTTTTAATAAATAGGTACTTTTTTAAAAAAATATTGCTGTCAAAAGAATTTATTGCAAAATAAAGTTGGACCAAATAATAAGAAAAACAAACAGTTATATATTTACAACTATGCAACAAATCACAAAGCCAATGTAGAACGTGTTCAAATTACTCTCTATGTGCTCTATGGCAGGATTGCTCAGCATCTACTTTCTATATATTTTTCACAAATAACCCAACATATAAACCATCCAGTTCCTACCAAGGGGCTTCATAGCATCTTCCTGTACTTTGCCATACCCATAACATGGCACAATAGGCTGCTTAAAGAGAAACTCTATCATCTGCTCATATGTCCAACAGTGTTAGACAAGACAATGGCAGAATCTGAAAATATAAAGTGGAAATCTACCAAATTCATCCCAGCTTATTTTAGTGAAATGCCTAATGATATCTCATTTTAAAAAATAACAGCCCGGTGTGATTGAACGTGCCTGTAATTCCTAAGGACTTGGGAAGCTGAAGCAAGAGAATTGCAAGTTCAAGACCAGCCTCAGCAAATTAGCAAGGCCCTAAGCAACTTTGCAAGACTCTGTCTCAAAATAAAAAAATTAAAAGGGCTGGGGATATGAGTCAGTGGTTAATAACTCTTGGACTCAATCCTCAGTACCAAAAAAATAAATAAATAAAAATGAAAAAACAAAATTGGGAGAAATGCTAAAATTGATAGCACAGGGGAGCAATAAATGTCTAGGGCAAAGCAGCAAAAAATGATGAGAGAGCCTAATCAAATCTGATTCTTTTATTGTCTCTCCAAAGCTACTCTCCAGGAATTATTTGTTCATTCCTATCCACAAATAAATACAATAAAATGTCTTAAATTAGAAGCCAAAAGGAAAAAAAGCCCCTCATTAACACTTTTTATTGCTACTTTCAAAACTCCTTTGGCAGAGTCATAGTAACAAAACTGCATGGTATTGGCATAAAAACAGATACATAGACCAATGGTACAGAACAGAAGATACAGAGACAAACTGACACAGATAGTCATCACATTCTTTCAAAGGTGCCAAAAAACATACATTACATTTGAGTAAAGACAGCCTTTTTAACAAATGGTGCTGGGAAAACTGATATAATCCACATGTAGAAGAATGAGACTATATACCCTTCTCTCTGACTCTGCAGTAAAGTGAACTCAAAAATGGATCAGAGACCCAGAAAACTATGCAGAAACCAGAAACTATGCAATTTTTAGAAGAAAACATAAGGCCAACACTCCAACATGTAGGCACAGGCAACAACTTTCTCAACAGAACTCCTAAAGCTTAGGAAATAATGCCAAGAGTTAATAAATGGGATGCATCAGATTATAAAACTTCTGCACAGCAAAGGAAACAATTAAGAAGGTCAAGAGAGGAATATTATTCAGCAATAAAAGAGAATAAAATCATGGCATTTGCAGATAAATGAATGGAGGTAGAGAAGATAATACTAAATGAAGTTAACCAATCCCCAAAAAACAAATGCTGAATGTTTTCCCTGATATAAGGAGGCTGAGTCATAGTGCGGTAGGGATGGGGAGCATGGGAAGACTAGACGAACTCTAGATAGGGCAGAGGGTTGGGGGGGAAGGGAGGGGGCATAGGGTTAGAAATGATGGTGGAATGTGATGGACATTATTATCCAAAGTGCATATATAAAGACATGAATTGGTGTGAATATACTTTGTGTATAACCAGAGATATGAAAAATTGTGCTCTATATGCGTAATAAGAATTGTAATGCATTCTGCTGTCATATATAAATTTAAAAATTAATATAAAAAAGAAGGTAAAGAGAACCTATAGAATGGGAGAAAATCTTTGTTAGCTACTCTTTTGACACAGGATTAATATCCAGAATATTTAAAGAATTCCAAAAACTTAATACATGAACAAAAACCAAATAACACAAACACTTCTCATAGGAAATACAAATGACCAACAAATACATAAAAAATGCTCAACATCATTAGCAACTATGGAAATGCAAATCAAAACTACATTGAGATTTTATCCCACTCCGATCAGAATGGCGGCCATCAAGAATACAAACAATGGGGGCTGGGGTTGTGGCTCAGCAGTAGAGCCTAGCATCTTCGAGGTGCTGGGTTTGATCCTCAGCACCATATAAAAATAAAAACAAATAAGAATAAAGGTATTGTGCCCAACTAAAAAAAAATAAAAATAAAAAATGAATACAAACAATTGACGAGTGCCGGAGAGGATGTGGAGAAGAAGGAACATATATTGTTGGTGGGATTGTAAATTAGTACAAGCACTATGGTAATTCCTAGTCAAAAGACTAGGAATGGAAACACCCAGCCAATGACCCAGCTATACAACTCCTGTTATTCATTCTAAAGAATTTCAGTCATCTTATTATAGCAATACATGCATATCCATATTTATAGCAGCACAATTCACATTTGTGAATTGTCAAATTATGAAAAAAAATTGTCAAACTATGAAACTATCCTAGGTGTCCATCAATGGATGACTGGATAAAGAAAATATGGTGTATATACATAATGGAATTTTATTTAGCCATAAAGAATAAAATTATGTTATTTCCAGGAAAATGAATAGAACTTGAGAAAATTAGATTAAGTCAAATTAGCCAAATTCATAAAGTCAAAGGTTGTATGTTTTCTCTCATCTGTGGAAGCTAAAGAGGAAACATGAAAATAAAATTGTGTGTGTGTAATCTCATGAAAACTGAAGGGAAATCAGTAGAGTATAGAAAAAGGACCAGGAAAAAGGAAGAGAGGAAGAAAAGAAGAAATATTGGGGGATGTATATTGGCCAAATTATATTGCTGTATTGTGTGCACGTAGGAATATGCAACAAATCCCATTCTCATGTATAACTATAATGCATTGATAAAAATGGAAATAAAACTACTTTGTTTTAGATAATTGCTTTAATTATTCTATTCACTGGTGAATCCATTCCAGTTAGATTTTGGCTCCCACACCAACCCTATGAAAAGGTCATAATTTCCTCCTCCCTGTTGCTCTCAATTTTGCTCTTCAACTTACCTGTTGATTATTTTTGTGTTTCCTCAGGGTAATACAATTTAAACTTTTTTTATATAAATAATTATATCAGCAACATTTACAATGTCTTTTAATTTTTTCTTATTGTTTTGACACAAATGTAGCCATTTACATAAATGAAACAAATATTTCATGAAATAATGCCTGTTCTTACCATGTGAAATACATTCTGTTCTACTCACAACCCACTGATACACTATGTGACCTGGAGCTTGCAAACAAAACCTCATTTATTGAATGATACTAATTATGCATTTATATTTACCTCTTTCTAGGCTTTTTATTTTATTCAACTGGTCTAATTGATAGATTTTTATATCCATACTTAATGTGCCCCCTCACCTGGTTTTTAAAATTTTTTCTCAGTAT